CCCCCCCGAGACAAAAGGCTGCAGCAAATCAATGGGGAAACAAACTTCATTACCAGAACTGCACAGATACTTTTCCCACTTCAAATAGTTCATTTTAAGTAGTTTCTAAAGAGCTGAAGAGTGCAGCAGAGGCAACGAGGTTTACAAGAGTAGCATGAAAAGTCCCAGAGTCCTTGCATACTTTTAAATGCAGTAGAATTAAAAGGACAGTCCCCCTTATGCATTTTCTTAAGTAACCTTGCTGTTGCTTTCCTGCCTTGTCCCCAAACCATTTCCAGCCAGTTGTTGCTTCCAAATCTGGATGTCTCCTGTTTGTGTCTCTGTAGCTTTATGTCCTTTACCTTTCTGTAACAGACCTGGTAAAACCTAAGAAAACAATAGATGTTTTCAATGTTTTGTAGAGAGGCAAAGCATTTTACGGTATTTTAGCATTTAGATAGGCACAGGATGGAGAATAAAAAGTTTGAGAAGATCTTTGGACAATACTAGTGCTCCAGGCAATGAAATAAATTAAACAATGGAGATATTTTCTTTTGGTTCTCTAATGTCTTGTCCTATGGCAGTACGTGACTTTGCTTTGAAAGTGATTATAAAAATGCCACTGTGCAATTCAGGGTTTGTTACTTCTTGACAATTGGACAAAACTGGAAATAAGGCCCTAATCATGTAACTTTTGGGCTCACATTCTTACAGTGGCTGGTAACTTAATGGGATTGACTGAATGCCTAGGGTTCACAGTGTTTTTACTATGTTATTAATATTTCCAGGAATTATTTTTAGATTTAATTTTTAAGAGTGTTTTTTTCTCTTGAGATTCTATTACTCTTGAGAAAAATGTATCCTACTTGGCTTTTTTTTAATAACAGTTGTGCATGTAGAACAGGCTACCTAGAGAAGTCGCGGAATCTCCATCCCTTGAAATTTTCAAGAGTAGGCTGGGCAGATATTTGGCTGCAATGGATTAGTCAGATATGATACTGTCTGGAGCAGGACATTGGATTACATGACCTTGTGAGGTTCCCTTCTTGCCCTACTTTCCTGTGATCCTATAATTTTGTAATTTGTTTTTCTTTCCCTGCTATTAAAATGTTTTACCATTGATGAAAGCATGTCCTCTCCCAAAAGCATGTTTTATCTGCTAAATTTGCAAATGGGAAAAGAAATCAAGTGCAGTATAAAACCAATCTCTTGTGATCCAGCTTCAATCAAGGGCTATATTCTGAATTTGCAACAAAAAAGATTTAGTGATACCATAGATATTTTTCTTCTTTAACTATTCTACTCCTTACTGATTCTGTTTTTAAATCAATTAAACTGCCTTAAAATGATAGCCCTCATCTACATTTACAAATACTTAAGGACAAAGATATGCTCCATTAAATGGTGGCTCTCTGCTAGATTGAAAGGTGATTAGAATAGAGTTGTTATCCTACCTGACTATAACATGCATAGTATGCAGATATTATATAAATGTTTAAGCATCACATTATTTATTAAGATCTGAAGCATTTCCAGACAATGATGATACTTTATTTCTGATGATACTTTATTAACTCTTTTTATTTATTTTGTGTCTTTTCTCAGAGGTATAAGGTGTAATTGTGCCACATTGCTTTAAAAGGGGTAGGATAAACTAGACAAATTATAGAACGGAAGTTAGTTGAGCAAACAGTAGGAGTTTTCACAGCAAAATTCTTCTGTGGTAAACTAAGTCTGATGAAAATATTGTGACACTGACCTCAGCATATTGGCTTCCAGCCATTTACTAAAATAGTAAATGGCTTGCTCTGCATAATTACAAACATGCTTAGTGAAGAAAGCATAATGGATCACAATTTAACTCTTTCAGATTTTGAGAGAGAGAAAAATCAACCCCTAATGATATAACATTAGTGAAGTGACTTCATCAGAATTGACACAAAAAGTATTGTTGTCTAAATTATTTGGAGCAGTGAGATTAATGAATTGCAATATTAAAACAGCTGTAGTCTTGCTGATACCATTTTTCATCAAAACTGTGAAAGAAGCCTGTATTATTTTGTTTAAAGTTTAAGCCTGGGGGATGCCTTAAATGTTCAAGGCTAGCAGCTATTGAATCACAAAATTAGAGAAAAATATGGTTGGAAGGGACCTCAGGAGGTCATCAAATCCAGTCCCCTACTCAAGCAAGGCAGGATTATTCCTAACTAAACCATCTCACCCAAGTGTTTGTCTAACTTGATCTTAAAGATTTCCAGTGAAAAAAAACTTCACAGCCTAAGTAATCTGTTCTCATGCTTAACTACCTTCATATTAAAAAAATACAGTTCTTCCTAATAGCAGCCTAGATTTCCCTTGTTGTAATTTAAGACTTAATTATTCTTTTCTCCATGGCCATAGAACATATTCTGTCATCAGCTTTTTTATAACCACCCTTCATGTATTTGAAGATTTAGCAAATCTCTGAGTTGTCTTTTCTCCAGACTAAATAATCCCAGTTTTTCCAACCCTTTCTTAGAAGTTGTGTTTTCTAGACCTGTAATCATGTCTTGTAGCTCACTACTGTACTCTTTTCAGTTTGTATGTGGTAGTGTAAGAGTGGTGTTGTAACTGTTATAGTCCAGAAACTGCAAGAAGAAATAATTTCTTAGGGTGGTATCTTTTATTGGACCAACTGTATGGTTGGGTTAGGGTTAGACAAGCTTTTGAATGCAATTCATTGTTCATCAGGTCATTAATGATGATGCATGTCTTGCATTCAAAAGGTTGTCTAACTATTTTAACCATACAGTTTGTCCAATTTGTTATGGTTTGCTTGAAATGCAGTACCTAAAACTGGACACAGTACTCCAGCTGTGACTTCACCAGTGGTGAAGAGAGTGGACTTGCTGGCAACATTTGTTAATATAGACCAGTATGTTTTTGGCTTTATTACAGCAACAACATTCTGTTAATTCATATTCAGCTTGTGGTCCAGTATAACCCCCCAAGTCCTTTTCTGCAGCCTAGCCAGTCATTTTCCAATTTGCACGTGTTCAGTTGTTGTTCTGTCCTAAGTGCAAGGCTTTGTCCTTATTATATTTCATTCAATTAATTTGGGGCCATTTTTCCAGTTTAGTGAGGTCGCTTTGAACTCTAACCCTAATCTCCAAAGCATCAGAGGCCTTTATCCATTCCTAGCATCAACCTCCAGGGGTTCAGTCTTGCATCTCTTAACTCCCTGGAAGGTGCCCTAACTATCAAGCTCTAGGCTGTTCAGGAATGGGAGCTCTCTCCATCCCTCTCCTCGATGTTCTTTCAGTGCGGAGAAAATAATTGAAGGCTCATTGGATCAGAGAAAGAGAAGCAGGACTCTAGCTAGGTGGCTGGGACACTCTCTAGGAAGGTGGCAATTTGAATCCTTTCAGGCAAAAAAGGTCTAGCCTTTAGGCTAGGGGCACTCCCTTCTCTTTTTCCCCAGGCAGCTTTTAAAAGATTTAAAGTGGCGATCCTTGCTATGTTGTCAGGAGCCTGGCCCTGTCCATGTATGTTAGATGGGCTGTTAGATTGCAAAATATGTTTTAAAACATGAGAGGCAATTAGATACCTTGAAACAGGGCAACATAAATCAGGAGCAGCAGGTAGCATGCACTCCCCAAATCCAGGCTGCTTATGTAGGCCCCTCATTTGAAAGTTTTTTGGTCTGAAATAAAGTGGTCAGAATCAAATAAATGTCCTGTCAAGGTTTGTGATATAGCAGTAATTACTAATCTTTCTTTTGCCACATAATCCACAGGTAATGCAGTTTGTTGATAAGTTACACTTGTTGAGTGAGGAGTATTTAAAACTAAAATAAGTTATGCGCACACTTTGTTACAGCTTATTCCACAAAGAGTAATAGCAACTGTTAGTCACATCTACACTTTATCAATCAATGTTCTTGATGCACTTCTATTGACATCAATTCTGAGTTCTCAGAGTGGAATGTTTGACATATCAATCTTCCTCTGTTATGAATAGGCTAGTCTGATAACCAGTGCTTTGCAAGTTTCAGAACACACTATTTATCAAGGGGAAATAAATTATTGCTTAAAGGGTATTATTATGCAAGATGCATTTATGACAGAATGGGGAGTTAATAGCACAATTTAACTTAAGAGCTGCTAGCTTTTTTAAGTAAGCAAAATGAAAATACAGGTTTAGACCTTGATCTCTAGATTCCTACTGCACTGGGCGATGACAGTCATTTAGTGACAATGGGATCTGACTCCCAGTTCCAGCAGCTGCACCTCCAGCCATGCCAAGCATGTATGTATGGTACAGTTATTGGGATTAGAGATCAGATCCCAACTTCATGACTGGCAATGCAGGGAGCCCAGGGCATGGGTTTGCAAGTGCTGGTTGGGAGGAGTCAAACAACTGCTCCCACCTTGCAGCTGCAAATCCAAGGACTTCTATGCCAGGAAGTCTAACAATCACACATGCATTATTTAAAGGTCCCAGCACACTGGAGCCCTGGGATCTGGGAGCCTCTTCCTGATGAGTAGGAAGATCTGGGATCTGGATTCTTTCTACGTGCAGTCTAAAAACTGCACACACACTTTTTAAAGGTCCCGGCCCACTTGGACCCCCTGTGATCAGGGAGCATCTCCCCAGTCACAAGGTCCTGGTACTCTGAGATGTTTAAAACCTATGCATTCAGCCCAGCTGCTTGTGCAGGTTTTTAGACCTCCCAGCGCTTAGTCTTTCAGCACACTGGGACCTTTAAAACCTGAATGTGCACAGCATAAATTGGCTGCTGGTGTGGCTTTGAAACTTGTCATGTTGGTGGAAGCCAACCTGGTAAATTGACTGTCTTGTTCTGCAGGTGGGTTGCAGGAAGCTAGCATTTTGAAGTGCTTTGCCCTGCAATCGCTACAGTCCCAGTGCCAACCCAGGTCCTGATGCCAGTGCTGACCATCAGCATTAGTAGGGGGGCATGTTACATGTTCAATTTATGGTGCCATAAAAAACAGCCACAAAGATATTCCATATTTTCTATGGAATATCTTTGTGGCTGTTTTGCTACTTTATGGGACCCTGAACCAGCTGCATGTGTATCACTGTTACTATTTTTAGTGCAGTTATCATATGCCAGGGGCCCTTGAAACATCAATTTTTATTTTGTAATGCAGAATTCTACATAATGCTTTATAGAAAAAATACATCTGTCTTTCTTTCTCATCCTACTTTTATAATTCCAAACTTGATTGGAGCTAATGAATACTCAAACCTGTCATTTAGGTGTCTAAAATTAAGATCCCAAATTTGTATTTAAACTCCT